AGAAAGTTCAGTGGATAAAACGTGATTATTTAAACATAGTACACGAAAAGAATTGTGCGTAATCTGTTGTGAACGTAGGTATGAATAATGGGCGATAATTCCTAGTAGGTCTAGACGAAACAGAGAATTGAAGACGCCCTAATTACCTTATTTACTGGGGACAAATCGTAGTGTTAGAGAGTGTCCAAATTTGAATCGATGACTGCGCTGATGTGTTTCTCTAAATATCGATTTGAAATTATTTTGCATATGGCAAGTTCGACAAACTCGATCAATTTGGCGAGCAACCTGTTAACTTTTTAAACTATTAAATGGGCTTTGATTAGGTATTACTCAGTCGGTTACACACGATATGAATAATATCACTTGCGTTTCTTCAAAAACACATATACTTAGTTACTTATTTGAAAAAGCTTTCATTCAAATGATTTGTTCGAAAATAAATACATTACTTTAGAAGTATTTACGAAAAACAAGTTTACACGGAAACAGGGCATTAAAACATTTTCTCATGTATTCAGCGGAGGGTTTTTTTTTTTTAAACTTAGACACACTCTGTATGCTAAAAAACTTGTAGCTTTTTTTTTTGTTGCTTAATGGCAATCCTCTTTTGCATAAATATATTCAAAACTAGTGCTGGAAAATCTAGAATCCTGCTGATGATAGGCCCAGAAGGTTCTTGAAATAGCTTTACAGAGAACCCGCTCACGTTGAGTGTTTATTTTTAGTTTTTTCTGGTTATTATAACAAATGTTACTTTCGAGCCAACCACCTGAAAAATTTGATTATTTATTTTGTAAATTTAAAATAATTACACTTCTTCAACGCTTACAATATACTTACTTTAAAGGCATATAAAAAAAGAATACTACAATACTTAATGTGTATTCCACAAGCTGCAAATTTTGGAACATATTGCTAAAATGAATGTTGTTCAATAGTATTATTTTTATTTGATTTTTTATACATTTGACATGGGCTCTTGTGGTTTTTTGGGGCAGAAATAAATAGCAAGCCAACTTTTTGTTATTTAAGTTTTCACAGATGCTGGAATTAGAGCTAAGTTCATAGCAGTACAGGCTACTCTTCAGGATTTATTAAATTTAAGTTTCTACTACTACTGCTACTTCGAAATAAATCGAATGCATTTTTAATTGAAATTTAACAACCTTTTGAGTGGGCATTACACTAATCTCTGTTTGTAAATTGCAAAACAAACTAAATGCGATAGATTTTAAAATACAATACGGATTACATATTTTAATACCCTACTTAAATCTCGTACTTTCACTTTGACCCATGGTATATAATTTATGGAAAAACTTTATAGCCCAATGCGATTTTTTGCCCAATGCTTCATTAATTTATGAATACCAAATTGTATGCTGACATCGGCCAACAAAAACTATTTAAAACTTACGCCTGCGACAAGGGTCGTGCCCTAACCTAGCACCTACCTCGTAAGCCAACAGACATCGACAGACCAACCAGTTTTAACACCACGCCCGTGCACCCCGTTTGAACCGTCGGCGAATCAGTTTGGTTCATGATTGAAGTACCCGCATGTGCGGAACATTTTAAATATTTACAAAGATATTTCAAAAAACGCTTTTGGCATGTTTTGTTGCTGTTGCCGCTGTGTCCAGGGGTCGGTCCGCAGCTCTGCCAGTGTTCCTCTTGTGTCGAATGTTTTGCTCATTTTTTGGTCGAGAGCCCAAAAGGGAAGTTCAACTTCAAATGCGGCATGAGGGCAGCGTTTGCCAGGGGCGTGTGGGCGGGGGCGGCTGCGTCACTTGAGCGCGTGTGTGTCCTTTTAGGCAAGTGTCAAAAACCGTTGGTCAAAAAACCGTATGGCAATTATTCAACACAATTGAATATGAAGTGTGGCAAAGGCAGCGAACGAAGGCCTAGCAGGAGTGGGGGGCGGGGCAGTATGTGAAAGTGAGGCAACAAAAAAGTTGCAGCGCTTGGCAAATAATGAAAAATACACCCACATCAGTATTTTTTGGATGTCTGCACTCGCACACACACACACATGCATACAAAGAGAAACACAAACGGGAACACATCCACACACCCGCAAACCCACACATACACACATATACATATGTACACTGGCAACATTTCCGCACCCTTTTCATGCCAGAGATGCTGCCGAAGCCTCTGGTGCTATTGTTGTTCTTGTCACTGTGCAGTTGCTGGCAATTTTTCGGTGATAAAATATTTAAATTTAATTAAGGCCACCAACGAGCAACACGATTTCCGTGCCATGGTCAAAGAAGGGGCCTGTCCATGCTAGCCAGACCTTTGACCCCTTACCTCTGTGCAGCAGCAACTGTGCCAGCGCCCAACCCACCCTCCGTCCCCTCTTCGCCCGCACATTTGTGTGTGGTGCGTTTTGGAGGCTTTCAGGATCGGCCAAGAAATTCATTAAAAATTTTTGCTTTGATGTTACCAAATTCTTTATCAAAGTTTTTGTGTACTTTTGGCTTTCGTGCAAGTGGCGCATGAATCTCCTATGGCAACAACAACCACAGACCCAACTTGCATATTTGCATATATATTTATATATATATGTATGTGTATGTGTATATATCTTCTATTTTTCGGGTAAAAGTTTAACCAGTTTATGGTATATGGTACTGCTTATTTCGGTCTGTACACTATTCGCTTTGTAATTAAGCTACACATCTGAAACTCTTATTCAGCTTCTTTCTATTAGATAAGTTGTTTAGCAAACATATTTTCACAAAATTTAAATTGGACACGCTGGCAAATTGTTGCGAAAACAAAAGTTTGCGATGCTGCCAGCTTAATCGCCAAAAGTTATTGCACTTACATATATATTCGGTTATTGTAGTTTTTGTTGTGGTTGTTGCTGTTGCTGTGTTGTACATAAAACTATTTGATATGTGCGTGTGGGTGTACAGCACTTGAAAACTTTTGATCTTGAGCTGCAAGTTTTTCTTTTTGTTTTCATTTAATTTTGTGGAAATATTTTTCATTGTACGTTTGAAGTATTTATGGAATTATTAGAAAATATTTTGTATGGCTCCAAATAACTTTCTTTTACCTCGAAAGATTGTGGCAAACGAGCTGAAAAATGTGAATAGCCTAAGCCTGAGTTTGCTTAGCATTTGCAAATTGGAAGCAAATGCAAAGTATTTTCAGAGATAATTGCAAATAGACAAACTGCATCAAACTGATATTGGTTTAGGTATCATGTATATCCACAAAATTTTAAAAATTCAGTTTGAACCAATTAAATATCCAATTAAAGGACTAAGAACTTGAAATCTTAAGGGTTTCCACTGAGCTGTGCTGAATTTATGGTTCAAACCTAATGTATTTAGATTTATTTACTAAAAGTAATAAAAATATAAAATGAAGTAAATGCATTTCACTTTGTTTAAATATAGTTTTGGGCCTACTTTCGGCCACTGCATTTTTGTTGCTAAAGAAACATTTGATTCTTATAAATCCGAACAGAAATTCGACGTTTCTAGGTAGCTAAGAAGCATGTTAGTACAAGGTACACTGAAATATGCTTCCAACATTTGCTTGAATCCTGCTCAAAATAGATGGCAGGACGGGGATGGTGCAGCATCAACAGGAGGCAATGGCACTCCTCATGCTGGACGTGTTTACCATGTTTGTCACATTTAAAATTCCATTGTTTTGCTATTGTTGCTGCAGCTGCTGCCGCTTCTGCTATTGCGGGGATTTGTTTTGGCAAAGTGCGTCAAAGAAGGCAGAACGCAATGAGAAGTCGACAACAGGAGTAGCGGTGGCAGCCAAAGCTCTGGGTGGCACGTACCAACGTGTGAGGGGAATGGTGGAAAAGGTGCTGCCAATTTTGCCAGCATTTCCAAGAGGTGCAGGCAAAAGAGCCATGCTGTTATTGCTGTTTGTCAAAGTTGCCATTTCAGGCGTGTTGCAATGAAAAGCAAACCTTTTCAACAGCAATACGAGCATATGGTCCGTACCTATAGTATTTTTGGTTTTCACACTCCTGCAACATGGCAGGCCAAGAGGCCAACAGGAGGCAACGGAGTGTGTACTAAATTAAAATGCACTCAGCTGAAAAATTGGTTTTCTCGTTCTGAAAAACTTTGAGTGATTTCTGAAAGTCTCTAACGAGTGCCAACCCAGCGGGCAGGCAGTGGGCCGTGGGTGCAAAGGATGTTGAAAATGTAAGCAACAAGCAGCAGCCGAAAAGTAGGCAGCACAGGAGGTCTGAACAATAACAAGGAATGTTTTCGTTATGCCAGCAAATTTTAGAGCAACTGAATTGAGGAAAAAAAATAACGCATTGTTTTTGCAAAATTGTTTTAAGAAGCCAAAATCGTAATCAAGCGTACCGAAGGTTTTACTTCCGCGCACACAAAATAATTCATAAATTACAGGAAGTTAAAAGGAGAGATGACGAAGGACGAATGCTTGCAATATTCTTTGCCTAATTTAAAATTAATAACGCTCAAATTGGAACTGTAGCTTATTAAATCCTACATAATAAATTTGCGCAAATGTGTGTCACTGGTAAAATAAGATTTCCGACTTAGATTTTGCATTTATAGCAGAGCACTTATACCATGAAAATTCCTACAATCTTTAATTTCTGGCTCCCTTTGCGATTTCCATCGGATCCAAAAATGTTTATATGGTTAATATCTCTTTTTAATTTTCCCTCTTTTACTCTCGCTCTAAATTTTTCTCTTTATCTACTTAACTTGCAAAACTTCTTTCTGATAAACTCTCTTTTTCTCTCCCATTCTTCTCTCTATATTTTCTCGTACTCATGCCCTTGTCCTAATAGTTATCTTTGATTGCGTTTTTAATGGGTTCTATCTATCGCAATTAGACCCATAGTATATACAACTCACTCACTCCAATTCGTTATTAAATATTTATTTTGCAGTTGAACAAGCAGAGAAGACGCCGCCAAAATAGACAACCTAGCAACTGGACAGCCTGCCAGTCCCGCCGTGGGACTGCGCTTAATGGGCATCCTGCCGTGCGCACTGCAGTGGCAGCCATCGCAGACAGCAGCAGCCCCAGGCAAGGCGCCTAAGATGGACTACTTGGGCACAGTGCGGTCCAGTAGCAATCCCTACGTGCTGCCAAGCAGCAGCAATTGCTGCAACAACAGCGTGAATCCGCCAGCTTCAGCAACTGGCTGCTGTCAGGATTGTCGCTGTTGTAGACAGAGCTATGAGCATTTGCCCGTGCCACGTATGCAGCAGCCGCCACAGGTGATCGCCGCTATGCAGCAGCACCAGGCATCTCAACAGCAGCATCAGCACCAGCATCAACTGCAACACCAACAGCAGCATCAACATGAACTGCAGCACCAGCAGCCTCATCCACAACAGCACCCACCACAGCAGATCAGCTGCATCACAACGCTGCAACAGACAACAACGACACAGCAGATGCAGCCGTTGCCCTGCCTGAAAGCAGCTGCGACGCCTGCGCAGCATCAGGCAACCACGTCAACGACATATATAAACAATCCGCCGCCAGCAGCAACCCCACATTGTCACACCAGCTGTAGCAGGCACAACAGCAACAACAATGCCTTTAGCCTATCCAATCGCTGCAACGACAACAACATGGACATTAATTCCTCCGCGCCTGCTTTCGCCAATAACAGCTACAATAACGCACCACCTATGATTTTTGTGCCCTTCAGTTTGCCCGTGCCACAGCAACAGCAGCAACAACAACAGCCGCTGCAATATACAAAAAAACAGCCACCATCCTTGCCAGCTGTTAAAAACTCAATGCCACCATTGGGCCAGACCCCAGCACCACCACCACCGCGGCCGCCGCCGCTGGTGCTGCCGCTTGCATTTCATTGCCACTATCCGCCTCCAGTTCCGGCATTGCCGTCGTTGCCACAGCCGCCAATATCCGGACCGCTGCCCCCAAGAGCACCACCAACACCGCCGCCCCGCATTGTGTTGCCGCTGAAAGCGGTCGCTGCAGCTGCCATTAGAGCGCATCAGCAGGTTAGTGCCGCGTCCATTAGTCCCCGACTCCTTACACATATTCTATGCATCGGTAAATCTGAGCATCAGCTTTAAACGATCCACTACAAATCCTGGAAGGTTTCAAAATGTTTCAATTTGTGTGCAGACAAGAAACAAGGTCCAGGGCGCGTATACTTAATATTTATTAGTTAACAGCAGCTGCAGCAGCAGCAGTACAAAACTTCAATTTGCATAAACATAAACGACGAACGAGTAGCAACAACAAGAACAACAGTAACTGCAGCAAAGTCGAGAGCTTGCAACAGAATTTGGGTGCATGTCGCTGACGAGATTTAACCCAGAGACAGCACACAAAAAATCAAAGTTACATGGACAGGAAATACAAGCGTTGCAAGCGGAAGTGAAAGAACAGACAACGGCGATATTGAAAGCTAGAGAGCGAGAGAGAGCGAAGGAGAGATAAGTGAGAGAGAGAGTGAGAGAGAGAGAGAGGGATAGGAGAGATAAGGGGCCGAAACTGGGCGTGCACAAAAAACTAATGCATAACCTAGTAAGATCATCAACACGAAATTTTACAGCAAACTCATGTCCAAGGATGTGGAAATAAACTTGTTGTTTTGCAGCAGGTCCGACTACACCGAGCTGCCCTCTTATCCTGCTGCTGTCCTGCGCTCAATGACTTTTGCATTTAATATGAGTAAAGCAACGAGCGAAAGTAGCGAAACAACAACAACAAAAACAACAGAGAAGCAACTAAAAAACGACAACGAACTACTAAAACTTGTGCTCAGCTTTTGGGGTTGGCTCAGCTCAGGTTGAGTTTTGCGTCCTGTCCAGCGACATGCAAACGCGCCTTGTAAATTACGTTGTTGCTTGTCAGGTTTTTAGCTAAAGGCAAGAACTCAGATACGACTGCAAAGATAGCGTCTACTATTCTGTTTTTTTTTTGTTTTGCCAGAGTTTCGTTGGTTTTGTTCTGCTTGTGCATAGCAGATCAGTTGATTCTGATTAAGAATCAGCGGCAACAACAGTTCCACACACACACACATATATATATACCTGTATACATATGTATATATATCTGTAAAAAATTGCTGAGTGTTGCCCAGCAGTCACCCACGTTTACAGTGCCAGCAAAAAGTATATTATTAAAGTATAAAAATTCATAAGCTCTCAGCTAGCAATTTGAATTTTCAGTTTTCTTTTGTTGACAACTTGCAGTTTGTCAAATGTTGCCCTTACTCGTATTTGGGTTGTGCGTGGTTGTGCGTTTAGATACATTATCTTTCACATTTTAAATAAACATAAGCGAAATGTATATTAAAAAGTAGAACATCTCTGGCTCGTTTCATAGCATGTTTCTTACTTGTGTTCATTCACTCGTTTAAGTAGTTTTATTTAGCCCTCAAAATGTATGCTACAAAGCACACGATCCTAAGAAGCGTTTCCAGCAGGCTGCTCTCTTTTTTTCCTGCACATTTGAATGCTAAATCTTTCATGAAATACCCTTTTTTGACTGCCAGAGTGTGAGTGCGCGTGTGTGTTCCTTTGTAACATATCCATAACTGTCCGGTGTAAGACATGCTTATGTGAGAGTGTCGGTGTGTGTGTGCGTGTGTGGCTTGTGGTCTGGACTTCAACCACAACTTAACAATGCCTTGCCTTCATCTTTCATGCACTCTACCCGAAATTCGTTTGTTTTTCCTGCTCGACGTTTTTCCATTTATAGTTTTATTCAACACCCAGCAGACTATCATCCACAAAGAAAGCATTTTATGTACTCGCTTTAATGCTTGCACTTGGCCATTGTTATAATGTACTCTCACTGCATTCGCATATGGGTGTAGGTGTTTGTTTGTATGTGTGATTGTGTGTGTGTGCGTGACAACAGTTAGCCCCTGCTAAGCATGCTATTTGGTTATGTTCCCGTGCAAGGGTACTGCATTAAGAAATTTCGTTGTTGTTTCTGAACTCTGCATTTTAAATCACATGAAGCTTTTCTGTTTTTCCATCACTTTCATCCTGCAGCCGCTCCCAATTGACCCACCCACAGCATTATGTTAAAATAACACTCGGTCGGGAAATAATAATTGCTCTGTTCATATTCCATGTGCCATTGCGGAGCCTTTTAAAGCGGATTTTGGTGTTAGAGCAACTGGTGCGAGCTTGTTTTAATGTGTTTGCGCAGTTAGGAGTGCGGGAAGCATCCTTTAGTTTTTGCATTTGCATATTTAAGAACTTTATGTGTGCTGCATAGCGTTTTATTCAATAATACAGGTGCCCAGATGTTGCACATTACCACATTGAGATTTCAAATCATTTTAACTACATGTAAGATTGCTGCAGACGAGAACATGACCAGAATATAATTCTTCTATAACTTTCAAGGCTTTTTTCTGTGCAGTCTGAATAAACGAGAATCCCTTCATATATTGATCATTTGAACTTCTTTATTTTTAAACGTTAAGCTAATTTTTCTTTTGATTAAACTGATTACGATTTCAGTTATTTAGAAAAAAGAACTTAAATTTATCTGTTCAGTTCAGAAAGACCTCAAACAATATTATATCTTTGGTTAGTTAGTTAGGTTCCTAGCTATTTTTAATTATTTTTTTTAAAGCCTACAGCCGTTAACGAGGTCTTCAAACACTTTTATAAGTGCCGAATTCAGGACAATTTAAAATCGTCGCATTTTTGCCAGTGTGCAATCAAAAATCCATTTAACCCCGCACAGAGGCCAAAAGGGCAGCAAGCTCTTCACACTCAGTTGCTTGCCATTTTCGTTCCTTGTGCCGATCGTTCGCTATATGGCATAAGGCAAAAGGCAACAAGCAAAAAGCCGAAAAATAACGAGTCACAATAACAACACCAATTCAGGGGCTCTCAGAGACCAAAAGCGAAGACAATGATGGGGCCAGCTGAACATAAAAAGCGCTGAGGTCGCACCAAACAAAATGCAGTGGCCATTGAGAGGCAGAAGGCAGAAAGCATCCTTTGGCTGCGAGTGAAGTTGGCTTAATGGCCTCGGGCTGATGTGTGATGTATACTCGTAAGTGAATTCATATTTTATATACCGTTAGCATCACAGCAAAAAGCAAACGAAAACATATGCGCAGGACTGCAAAGAGCATCGAATTTGTAGAGTGTGTCTGTCTTTATGATGCGTATCCAACCAGCTAGGCAAAAACAAACGTATCGTTAACTGATGTTGTCATAACTTTGGCGTGCAGAAATAAAGACCATAGACAAAATGAGGCGAAAGGCATGTCCTTGTAGAGCGCTCAGGCAGGCAGGCAGGCAGGCAGTCGGGCAGGCAACAGTAATGCAAGCAATGCTGTTGATATTTTAGCCAAAAGAAATCCGATATTTATGCCAAGGGATGCAATATCAAAGGAGCGCTTTGTGGGCAGCGACAACAACTGAAAGCCCTGCGAAACGTTGACAGCTAAAATGGCAAATTGGACAAGTGCCTGGCAAAAACGACGAAACGACCAAACGAGAAAAGCGATGCCAGCAGCGCCAATCAAAACCTTGCCTTTGGCTTTGAGCCGCAAAAACAGCTCGAATATTGCTACAAATAAAACTGTAGCATAGTCCGGACAGTCAGGACCACATTAACAGCTGCTGCTGTGGTGACTTTCTCGCATTTCACAGAGCTGGCAGTGCGAATCAGTCTCAACGAACGCTTCAATGCGCTCAAGGGCTCGCAAGTTCGCTCTTATGTCCTTTTCGTCCTGATCCCACCATGGGCATCTTTGGTTCACAGAGCGCTGTTAATTTAATCTGTGCAGCGGCCGCGAGGTGGCGTTAGTGAAAGTCGATGGTGTTGAATACCGTTTATTTCACCGCATTCACAAATACAGACGAACATGTATGCCTGTACAAGTGTGTGTGTATGTGTGTGTGTAGGGCACGCATTGGGTTGCCGAAAGTCTCTTAAATGCCGCTGCCCAGATGAAAAGGACGACGCGAACGTCGACGCAGCAGCCGAGGCAGCTTCGCTTTCCTTATTTTTGTTGCTGGCACTTGAAAGCTTTTACCACAATGCTTCTGTGTGTGTGAGTGTGTGTGCGTGCGTGTGAGCCAGCCAAGTGCTTCTTTGTTCATGCTGCTCGTTTGCCTTCACTGCGTTCACGGATGATGTGTCTGTGTGCTTCTGTGTATGTGTGTGACTGTGCAAGCTGGCGCCAAATTTCAAAAGCAGTCGCGAAAAAGCTCTTTTTTTTAACGGTTTATTAAGCCACTCGACACTCGTCGAGCTGTAAGCAGGTTGCCTTTGAAACTGTAAACGTTGGCAGCGGCTTCGCCTTAAGCACAGCACACGGGGCGTATGCTTTACAATGCAAATGTCGCCGACATATTAAGTATACGCAAGCTTATAAATTTGTTTAAGAAACATCTGTGTATTCCATTGCTTTCCAAAATTTGCAGCTAACTTTGGTTCAGCTGTAGATTTTAACTTTTTCCCATGTATTTTTGTTTGCTGGTCTTTTGTTGTTGTTGTTGTGTTCTCTGTGGCTAAGGTCAAACCGCCAGCAACAACTCGAATTAAATGCAATTGACAGTCGCAATTTCGAGCGAGCTGTCAGGCCAAATCCCAAACTGCCGCTCAGTGCGGAGCAGCGGGACAAGGGAACAGTTGAAGGGTAAAAACTAGAAGAAAAAAAAAGCACACACACAAAATAGAAACAGAAACAGCGACAGAGGCAGCGGCAGCTTAGCCAAACTCTGTTGTAACACAATAAAATGCAACCTCAACTGACAAAGAAAATGTTTCCTAATGTAGAACAAGGAATCGCTCGTGCGGGGAGGGGCGTTGCAGCCACGGGGCGTGTCGCTGGCAAAGATAGACAACACGTAAACGAAACGACAATGCCAAGCCACGGCTGTCAAATTAGAGGCAGGCAGTCAAGCAGGCAACTAACAGCGCCAACGGAGCGCGTGCAACATTCTTGCCATTTTAAATGCACAAAAAATCCTGCCCGCCACGAGCCAAGAGAGCCCAGGTGTCCATAAGA